TTCAGGTTTTAATTTTTTTTCTTGAATCACTTATTGGTAAGTTAGATTTTTTTCCCAGGAATCTGTCTATGTTATCTGAGTTTTCGAAATTTTTACCTTGAATTTATTTGTAATATGCTTTGATTTTTTTTTTAAAACTATGTAGCATCTGTGGTTATGTCCCCTTTTCATTTACAATTCTATCGTGCCTTCCATATTCTTTTCTTGAATAGTCTTTTCAGAATTTTGCCTATTATTAATCTTTTAAAGAATCTATTGTTGACTTTGTGATCCTCTCTATCATTTATTTTGTCTCCTAGTTCATTAATTTCTGTGCTCATTTTTATCTTTTTCTCTCTTCTAACTTTTTTAGGTATGATCTATTGTTCCTCCTTAACTTCTTAATTTGAATGGCTTCCCCGCGCCCCCATTATAAGCAGTGTAGTTATACATTTCCACTATAACTTCATCACACATTTCTTTTCTACGTAATGTTTTTATATCATTTGGTCCTAAGTATTTTATAATTTCTTTAACTAGTCAATTATGTGTACCTGTGTTTCTTAATTACTAAACGTCTATGTATTTGTTTACCTATTTATTACAATGGTCAGTCTATTCCATTCAATACACACATTCAATGACATGGTATGTTCTTAGTAAAGTCACTTGTACAGGTTCCTTCTAAGCTAAGATAGGAGACCAGTTGGCCCAAGTGGATGGGATATGGATGTTTTAAACCTGCTGATAAAGTCTTACCAGAATAGAAATGAGTGACGACATTGAGTAAATAACAGATAGGTTAGCCTTTAAATGTAGAAATACACCAACTAATGGGAAGTTAATTCTTTCTTGGTAACTTGGGAGAACTGATGGGTTTTCACTGATTTTCAGTTTCATACATCAGCTGTCCTGTTTTGATAGGACATTTCACCTGGATGAAGCTTTTTTCCAAACCCAGAACAGAGTGAATTAGAATTAAAGACTGTCTCTTTCCTCTTCCACTTACTAAGAACTAGACGCTGAGAATTATTCACATTTTCTCTAAAGGGTGCCTTTTTTTTTCCTGTTTGGGCCAGAGTTCTACCCTCATGCTACCCTTACACTTCAGTCTTAGTTTATTGAATGATAGGCCTTACCATCTGGAGACCAGCTCTCTTTTGGAAAAAAGAAAGCGCAAGCATGCAGTTCTCTAAGACTGGCTCTCTCAACTTCCAGCAAACAGGACTTGGATGGCAGCTGGCATCCCCAGCCCCCTCCCACTGCCCATGTGGCTGGGTTACACTTGACTGAACTCAACTTTCATGCCTTTTGGCTGAGGGACTTTGTCACTCTCTGTTGCTATGAAGGGTTTGTCCAAGGAAGCCCTGGCTGATGATGCTGGTATGGTTTACTCTGAGGCAGGTAGGCCCCGCTGCTCATTTTCCAGTGTAGCTTCTGAGCAAGGGGCTGTGGGTTGCCATTGTCCCCTTCCCTTCCTGTGAGCCTACTAGTGGTAAGGTGTAACAGATGGACATTCTGGCTGCCAAGGGCCTCCTGCAGGCCAAGGGGAGGGAGCCATGCCAGTCTCATGTTCTGTCCCTTTCCTCCTGCCTGCCTTGCTGACTTCCCTGTTCAGTTCTCATCCACCCCTGATGTGGGCTCTGCCTTAGGGAGACAGGTGGGAGCACATTGGGCAAAGGAGTCCCTTTTCTTCTCCATTCTTTCCAGGGTTTGAGTTGGTAAGAGCTCATCTTGCTGCTCCCTCAGAGCCATGTGGCATTTGCTTCCTCTGTTCTCTCCACCTCTTTCTCTCCTGCTGCAGCCCTCACCCCTACCCCCATCTCCAAATGTTTGAAGAGAACAATTCAAGGATAAATGAACATTTTTCTTAGATAGAGACAGATGATCTCCCTTCTTCCCAAACCAAGTAATTATTGGAAAGATGCTTCTTCTTTTTCATCTGATATATGCATATTTTCTACCTGGAAGGCAGAAGTTATAGAGGCGCCCAAGGAGAGTGGTGGGCTTGCCAGCCTTCTCTGCGGGTCACTGGCCAGTTTTGCATTACATCTGCCCCTCTGAAGTGGGCTGAGTATCAGTCTGCCTGGCTGTCTGGTCATTTCCACTAATTCGTAATGGCAGTTCTGGAAATGCTTGATGGTCAGGGGCCTGCCGCTGGGCTTGGCTTGGAAAGGGGGAGAGAGGAAGGAAGGAGGATGAAAGAAGGGAGGAAGAGGGGCTGAAGGGATGGAAGGAAGGAAAGGAGGAAGGAAGAAAGGAAAGAAGAAGGAAGGAAGGGTAGGAAGGGAAGAAAGAAGGGAGGATAAAAGAAGGGAGGAAGGAGAGATGGAGGGAAGGAAGGAAAGAGGAAAGGAAGGGGGAATGGGAGAAAGAAGGATGAAGGTGGAAAGATGGAAGAAGAGAATGAAGTTGGGAAGAGAGGGAGGGAGGGAAGGGAGGAAGGAAGGAGAGAAAGAAAGAAAAGGAAAAAAGGAGGAAAAGAAGCAGAGCATACACAGCTTTCACTCCTAGCTTCAGAGCCCAGCACGTCTCAGGAGGGGCTACATGACTTCAAGTCTCTGTTAAAAATTGCGCATAATGTACATAAAATAAAATTCACCTTTTAAAGCATACAATTCAGTGACTTTTGACAAACATCTACACCCATGTAGACACATCGCAATCAAGATATAGAACATTTTCATCAACTGTCGTGTCCCTTCGCAGTCGGTTCTCCCCTCCCACCCTCTTTTGACAAACATTGTTCTGTTTCTGAAACTAGAGTTTTGCCTTTTCTAGAACTCCATATGGCCAGATGAAATCATAAAATATGTACTCTTTTTTTTTTTTATTCTTATGCCTTTCACCCAGCATAATGCTTTCGAGATCCATTCATGTCGTGTGTATCAGCAGTTCATTCTTTGCACTGCCGAGTAGTATTCCATGGCATGGATGTACCGCAGTTTGTCTATCCAGTCACCTGTTGATAGAAGTTGGCTATTATAAATAAAACTGCCATGAACATTCACATATAGGTCTTGGTGTGTACGTACCTTTCCACTTTCTTGGCTAAATATCTAATCAAGTCTCTAAGTCTTTATCTTTCCAGCAATTGGCACACCCATTTTATCTCTGTGCCTATTAGCCTGTTACGAAGTGGCCCCTTCTAATTCCCATTCTATGAGTGAGCATCAAATAATAATCTGATTTTGAATACCGCCACTCATGCCAGTCCCTGTTACATCCTTTAGACACTATAGTCTAATTGCCTGTCAATCTGTTTGACACCCTAACTGGACTAAAAACAATTTGGCACAGGAATTGAGAGCACAGATGTTGGAGCCAGACCTCAGTTTCCTCATCTGCAAAATGGGATTCTAAGAGCACTTACTGAATGGGGTTGTGAAATATCAATTGATAGATAGATAGATATGCTTAGCCCATAGTAAATACTATGCTGTTGAATGACTCCACAAAAAGCAATATCAGGGTCTGGAATATGCACAGTTGGATCTCCTTTTAGTGGCTCATGCTGGGACTGGAACAGTTTCTATCAACTGCTCTGATGCCTGGATCCTGGCCTCTGAGCTCCCATTGGACAACAAGCGCTGTCTCTACACTGGGTGGAGAGCACTTTCTCCCCTTGTCACCTACCAGCTCTTCTTCCAGTGGGATGCCGGCTGTCTCCTTTGACTCCTTGAATTGAAGTTCTGTTTCCTTTCTCCTGAGTGTTTATTATTCCTTGAAAACCATAACTACAAGTTACAAGGGATCCTGCTTGTTTTGTCCCAATTCCTTCTCTCAGTTCTCGGTCTAACACGTCATGCTTCCACACATGTGTGAAGCAAGACCTGGAAAGGCCTCTCCCACGTTCTGAAATCTTCGTACTCTGGTTTGCATGAATCTTCACGTATCACAGGGCTTGAAGCCCTGAGTTGGTTAGAGATCTGTCCAGGGAGCCGGAAATATTTTTCTTAGAGCTCTATCAAGGATGTTACTGTCAGGGCAGCCTCCACAGTAGCCAGGGTTGTGGATACCCATCCCTGAGCCCTGTCACCTCTGCGGGCCAAGAACTGAGACTCTCTTTGAATGGTGACTCTCTTTTTTGAATAGGGGCTATGAGGCCCACTGAGTGTATAATTGGACACAAGGATTTAGCCCTAAGTTCAGAGAGAGAAACACTTTCTGGATCAGACCTTTTTCTCTCTTCAAGAATAAGATGATTCAGAACCAAAGTGATCAAAAGAACTAGAGAAATCAAAATGTGGGATTGATCCTTGAAGCGAGGCCCCTGAACAGAAACTTCCTATGGATAGAATAAAGCTTCCAAAGTATGATCCTCTGTGGGCCTGTGGGGAGTGTCTGTAAAGTCTAGGAACTCTGAGTGATACCACCTCTAATGGGGTGCTCTGTAAAGCATGGCGTTAAACATTTTCCATGGATAATCTCAGTTAATTCATTCCGATGAGTAGAAGATGACCATCTGCCCTTCCAGCAGTGGTTCAATCCTAAGGGATTCTGATTTTATTGGTCTGGGTGAGGCCTGGGGCATTTAGACTCTTATACATGCCCCCAGTGATTGTAATGTGCAGCCAAGGCCAGAAACTGTTTTACAGACAAGGGAATTGAGCCTTCACAGGTCAAAGTCGATGGCCCAAGGCCACATAGCTGTGAGTGGAGGTGAAGGATAGGAGTGCAGGCCTGTGCGATTGCAGCACTGGGGCCTGAGCGACTCATTCTGTGTGCCAATTGGAAAAGTGTGGACACTGGCTCCCGGGTGCTGGGCAGTAAATGGTCAGTAAGGATACAAATATGCCAAAGGCTTTCCCGGTGCTTCCTTGCTGACTCAGCACTCTTTAGAGTCTGAGCACGTGTGCGCTGCGAGGCCGAAAGGCTCCCAGGACAGAAAGCCTCGGCTCCTGGCCAGCTCAGCAGAAGAGCTTGCCATCTGCCCTTCAACTCTTGGTCCATGCTTAGCTTGGCTGCATCTGGGTCCAAGGAAACAAGGACGAATGTTTCTCGATTTTTTTTTTTTCTAGTGTGACCCCATAGCCAGGCATAAATGTCTTGGTCCCGAGCAGAGCAAGAGAGGAGACAAGTCAGGTGAGTAGAGGTCTTTTCCATTCCTCACCTGCAGTAACACCTGCCACGATGAGACTCCCGAGGACTGAGCGCTTGCTGTCTGCATCAGACACTGCACTGTGGGACTTAAGCACCTCATTTTATCCTCACCGGGATCCTGTGAAACAAGCCCTGCTATGACTCCAGTTTTCAGATAAGGAAACTGAGAGAGTTTGGTGGCAGAAATGAGAGTAATCCTAGGCAGTCTGACTCTGGGGCTTGACTCTTAACCATCAAACTACACTGCCTCCTGTGGATCCTATTTTGCTTTGTTCTTTAATTGTTTTAGGAATATCATCTGGTTCCCAGTCTGAGGGTAAACTTCTAGCACAGAGCTGGGTTCATAGCAGGCATTCAGTAAATATCAGTTGGTTGATTTATTTTATTTTATTAAACTGATATTATTTCTGAGGATTCCACAATACTGTGATGATAATAAGCATGTTCCAGGAACGTAGCCCAGGTTAGTCCATTTTCTGAATTACTTTTAAGTATTTCCAAATACTTCGAGTACTTTCTTGCCGCTCGCATTCAGTATTTGTAGCTGTACTAATTTCACACCTGCATACTTTTCTAAGAAGAATGCCTTAATATTTAGGAGCCTTAATATTTCTTTTGAAGAATTATTTTCCAGAACAAAAATGATTCCAAATGGTAGCTCTCCCAGTACCATCCAGCCCACTCCAGGAATGAAGTTGTTTGTCTGATGGGCTCTTCTAGGGGAATGTGCACAAAACTATGGCCTGATTTAGCAGCACACATTGTTGACTCTCTGCCCAGACACCCTTGGGCCACGTTGACCAGTTCCATGAACCCGCCTGGCAGCAGCTTCTGTGGCCTTCACCCTGTCCCCTTCTTCAAAGGATTGCCCTCCTGCCAAGGGAGCTGGAGTTTCAGTAACCAGTATTTACAGGTGTGAGAATATGAAAGCTCAGCTGCCTTGCCTTGGGGAGGAGGGGACAAACTCTGGAGGAGGGGCAGTTTACAGTTTAGAAGTCTCCTGGGATGGGGCTGAGGCTGGGACTTCACCTGAGGTCTGACCCTGGCCTGGCTTCTTCCCTTCTCTGTCCTGCTCCTTGGTGATGTCGAGGGGAGCAGTTCTTCACTGAATCACCTGCCCAGGAATTCTGGTCTCAGGGCTTGCTTTGGGGTAACATGCCCTAAGGCCAGGACCTGTGGGTTGGATGTCATTCAGACTAGAGAAGTCCTCTAAGTCTCTCTCTTTTAAGCTTTTGTGTTAGTGTCCTACTTCTGCCCTAACCCTCCACCTAAACGTGGGACACCCTTCCTTCTCAGCCTTCTCAGGGGCACCAACCCATCTCTCTTCTCCTTACCACTGGTGCACCCCCATCAATATCAGTAGCTTCCGCTCGCACCCGACCCACTGTCCAGCTCCCCTTCTCCCTCCTTCTTGACCAAACTGACTTCTACACTGTTTCTATTTCATTTGTTCAAATATTCACCTGGTAGTTCTTGAGTCTCTATTCCGTGCTAAGCATTCTGTGAAATCTGTACATAAAGCAGACACCGTGCTCGCCCTAACAGACCTTACATTTCTAGGGAGGGGGAACCACAAACAAGTAAACAAACAAATAAGCAGGATAATCACACATCAGATAAAGGCTGTGAAGGAGATATGCTAAGTGATGAGACAGGGCAGCAGGCTCAGATATAAGCTCATGTCTCCCTTTCTGTTCATCCTTCAGGCCTTGCTGCTGGTTCCCAGCCACACCTGCTCCCGAGAAGAGCACCTCTTCCCTGCTTGTCTATTAATGCCGATGACATTGTTCAGACTTCATCTTTCTCGCCCTTTGAGCGGCATTTTATTAAGTTAAATGAAAACTCTAAATCTTCTTTTCTTCCTGTGGCTTCCGAGGCACCACCGTCTGCTGGGTTTCTTCCTGCTTTTCTGCCTACTCCTGCCTGGTCGCATTTGTTGCTTCCTCTACTCCCTCTGCTTGGCCATTTAGGGTGGAAGTTCCCCCTGAACCCTCTTCTTCCTGTGGCTTCTCTCTCCCGGTGAACGTGTCCCCTCCTGTTTCAGTTTCCATACATTCTGTCTGGACTCTCCTTGGAACACCTGACTGTAAATACAGCCATCTTCTCCACGTCTGCACTTGGACGACCCAACACAAACTCAACTCAGCTCAGTATCTGTTCACATCCTCTCCCCACCCACTCCCAACCCAGCCCCTGTCCTCAGCCTTTGAGTCTCTCCTCTTCAGGTGTCCCCTGTCTCAGTAAGGGGCACCCTGTCCCCGCAGCTC